TAACTTTTAAAGAGAGCATTTTGATTGATCGACCACAAATCTTGGATTGAAGGTGCTGACCGTCCTCTGCTTTCGTGCACAATTGGCTTAACTAAATACGCATAGAGCTCTCTCAAATTTAGAAAGAGGTAATAAAGCGTTTTATTTTAGTTCGTACCGCCTGCTGCCTGTAAACGAGTACATGTATTGGGCTCGACTTGTCCCATCTGTCTACAGTACAATCAATTTTTAGAGAAAATATGTTACGGTGTATATTTCTTGCGATGTTAAACACTCATCTAGACATGGCTACACCTCGAGCACCACATTTTCTCGACAATTCACGAGTGCATCTTTTTCGAAGCCACACTACCTTTCGAGACTGAACCCGGTCCACGCACAGGGATACTGGAACCTTCACAAGCAAACGTACCCGTCGATCCGTGTTTGTCGGATGCCTTGGGCATCGAGATCTTGCTCGCGCCTTCACCCCAGTAGTCGCCCGTCGTCACTTCCTTTGCATCGATGCAGATCGTGCCGCCACTCTCTGTGTCAAGCGTGAGGTCATTGGATTCGAACAGCGGCGACAAGACCGAAATGCTCGCCGATCCCTCCACGTCCATTACTACACTCCCAGCCGACATGCTCTTGGCACGGAGTTGGAGACTCGCGCTACCCGACACGTCCAAGGTCAAATCCTTGGTGCTAAACGCGGTGTCAGCGGCCGACACGTACACGGCACTAGAGTCGCTCACGTCAATCAACAAATCAGCGTCTGTTGTGAGGACGCCCTCCTCAATGACAACGTTTGCCGCTCGAGAACAGTCGACGAGTGTCACGGCTCCGTTAGAGGACAACAAGAGCTCGGTCAGCACATGGCCAGTCGGAGTAGCAGCGGCAGTGACATTCAAAAACTGCTTGTAGGTAACGGTGACTGCGTCCACGACAGCTTGAGAATCGCCAGTGACGTTCAGATAGCCAAGCACACCCTTGGGCAGACCATCAGTGTAGCTCACAAAGACGTTACCAGCGAGGCTGATATCGATAGTGTCGATCTTGTCCGCGTTGCCACTGCCACTCACCGTCCACTGCTTCGCATATTTGGAGAGATCTGTCGATGGCGAGACCTTTCCGGTGGAGCTGGAGCTGACGCTGATGGTCGCCTTCGTGCACGCCGCTACGGACGCTGCAACTAGGGTCACAAGCACCTGGAGATAGTCGGTTTTCATGGCGGAAAGAGTGGGATTGACGTTGGTGGTTACGTTTTGAGAAATGATCTACGTTGAACATTTTATTTTTCGTCGGGTATCGACGAGCGTGCCACGTAATCGTGTTTACGTGGCAGATAATGCGTAACGCCAAAGCTGGATACCCGTACTTATGGATTTGATTTTATCATGTGGATACTCATACGATTTGAAATTGTTTCGCCAACACGAACATGATAAGACGTGCGAAGGCTTAATTAACTAAGCCTTCACGGAGATACGGCGAGAAATTCATGTTGTAGTATTTGTAGAAGTGGACGCATCATGCTATTTGGATCTCGTACTGCGAGTAAGCTATGCACGATATTCACTGTAAACAACATCTGGATTAAAAGGTGAATAGGTTCATTACCGTACCTACTAAAAATTTATTCCTGGATAGACTGCAAATATCTAGGGGAACCAGCCACTATTTTACTGGGCTGTCACGCAGCATTGCTAACTACCCCAGCCACCTGGGACATTTGTGGGTTAAGCTTTTAAATTAGTTGTAGATTCAAAATGCGACCGATTTATAGCGGCTACGATCCCTCTGTGGGGCATAGAAAGATCTGTTTAGCCACACCTCCGCCTCCGCCAGCGTGACTAAACAGGTCCAGCGTCATGCAATCTCTGGAATTCGAGGGAAGCGAGTCAAACGACTTAAAGTTGAAGTTCTAATGCCGAGAGAGGTGATTAGATTGGATCAGCAGGAGTTGAGCATCTATAAATTGACTGGTTTCGAAGGGTTTGACTACACTATCTACTGGGGTTCGCTCTACTTAAAATGTATGCTGAGAAGTCCGGGCAAAGGGCCTTCCGCAGCGCTCCTACATTCTCTTGTACCCACTATCGCCGGAAAGCTCCGTTAGAGCTATATCCTCACAG